CTGCCCAAACCACAGCAACCCTAAGAATGGATCTCAGCTTGCATGTAGATCTTTCTTTCTCTATTCTACCTCTCATCTCAATACAGTCAGACTTTGTATCACAAGGACTTCAGCCTGGTTTTCTTCACACTGTGAAAAATTAAACAAACAAACATACAAACAAACAAACATAAAACAAGCCAGAGACATTAAATCAGTCAAGATAAAATCTACCCATATGGTGGCTCACAACCATTTGTAACTCCAGTTTCAGAGGATCTGACATCTTCTTCTGGCCTCTGTGGGCACAAGACATGCATGCAGTGCACAGACATACACATAAAATAATAAAAATAATTTTAAAGACATGTTAAGAATTCCTAATAAATAAATATCGCCAAAAGTACACTTTGCCTTCTCGAAACATTAGATAGGAATCCAGAAATTCAACTAACTACAAATTTTTAAGTTTAAAAAAAGTTGTATCTGTACTGTGTGTGTGTGTGTGTGTGTGTGTGTGTGTGTGTGTATCAGGGAATGGAGAAGATGGTTCAGTAGTACAATATATACTCTGTAAACACAATGTTCTGGTCTCAATTCTGAGTACCAAAAACCAAACAAAAATGAAGAGAACTTAAACATATCACACTGGAGTAAAATGGCTGTATACACAATTTCTACAGTACTATATGTTGTCCCTTATGCAGCAGGCAGCAGGCAGCATGTCAGTCTCATGATCTAAAGTATTACTTAAATCCACAGTGTCTTACTGTGATCATTCTGTTTCCTCCCAGAATGGTGATTGTCTTCCCAAGCAGAGCAACCACAGAAGAAAAGACCTTGGTGTACAGATAGCTAAGTCTCATCCCCTTATCCATCAACACACTGAACTTACTGTATTCAGCAACAGCTAGTACAATAATTTGCTATAGTGTACATATGTACCTATGTGGATGGTACATGCATGTATGCACACATTGGGTGTCTTTCTTAATCTCTCTTCACCATATTTTTTTAGACAGGATCTTTGCATCGCTCACTGATTTGGCAATACTAGCTGGCCACCAAGTTCCAGGTATCCGCCTGTCTCTGCCTTGCCAGCACTCACATCATAGGTATGTGCTGCCCGGCTGTTCACACAGGTTCTAGGGATCTGAACTTTCATCCTCATGCTTAATCAGCAAACAGTTTATCAACTAAGCTACCCCCAGCCCCCTAATATGTTTCCTTAGATGATAGCTTACACAATCAACACCTGGAAGAACTAAAGTACAAGACTGACAGACATGCCCTCATTAAAGGGTTTGATTTAATAATTCGAGGCTTAGACCTGATATTTTTATTTTGGATGCTTAGACTATTTTTAAACCAGTATAGTTGGGGCACTCAACGGCTAAAAGTACTTGCTGCTCTTGCAGAGGACCAGAGCTCAGTTCCCAGCACCTACATCAAGTGGCTCACAAGCACCTATAACTCCAGTTCCAAGGGATCTGACACCCTCTTCTGGACTCCTTGGGCATGGACACTCACATATGCATACCCCCCTCCAACACACGCACACAAATATACACAGTTTCAAAATAATAAAAATATTTTACACCAGTGTTGTCAAACTGAGCTTCCTCTGACAGTAAAAATGCTTTATATTCTCCAACAGAGTAGCTATTAAGCACATGTAGCTATTGATACATGAAAATATGAACAATGAGACTGTATATATTAGCTCTCTATTGATGTTTTTACAAGTTATACCCAACAGTGGCTTGGATAACACTAATTATTATGTTATAGCTCTGGAGGTTAAAAAAAAAAAAAATCTGGTCTAAAATCGGGTGTGATCAGGGCTGCATTTTCTATGGGGTTGAGGGAGGCTGTTCACCCTTTCCAGCTTCTAAAAGCATCTGCATTCCCGAGCTGGAGACTCCTTCCTCCACCTTCAGAGTCAAGGGCCTACCATCTCCTTTCTTCTCCAACCTCTGCTTCCAGAACTACATTTGCATGCTAGCCTCCTGTGCTCTCTCTAGGCCCCAGTCATCACAAGAACATTCCTACTCCTTCTCATCAGATCCTGTGTGGCAGAATCTACAATCACTTGGATAATGCAGGATAATTCTCCCCACTTCAAAATCCTTAGTCGTGAGTGGGGATGTAGCCTAGTCAGTAGAGTGTTTGCCTATCATACACAAAGCCTACCTAAAACTCCGGCACTCAGAGGCAGAGGCTCAGCTAGTTCAAGGTCAGCCTGAATACATGAGACTCTACCTTAAAGCAAACAAAATCCTTAATTGTATCTCTAAAGTCTCTTTTGTCATATATGCTTATATATTTACAGACAGCAGGTATAAAGACAGCCATCTTTCAGAACCATAATGAACTGGTTCTTACATTTTAAATAATCTAAATAACAACATGACCAGCGGATACCAGTTAGACCACAAATGACCTGAAAGGATTGTGTTTCATATACTTAATATATAAGTATGAACACAAGTATTTACTAAAAAACAAGGCAATCACTGTCCCTCCCCAACACAAAAAAAGACTAAAGGAGTCAGAATATATTTTAAGTTCATAGTTTACTTTTATGATGACTCCATTGGTCTCACTCAAAACCTACTTAGTCTTATCTACCATGAAAAAGTCCCATCTAAAGAATTTCACAGAGTATGGCTATTACAAAGTCAGTAACAAAATCATAAATGTACTTACACAACTGTATGAGTAATTTCCAAAGGTTATGAACTTAGATATTAATATCTTATCTTTAACTAATTCCACTAACACAAATTATCTCCTTGGATTAACTACTGATGGGGAGGAGGAGCATAGGACACAGACGAAAAGGGCAGGTAAGCGTAACAGACTGCCTTATGGCCTCCTCGGAGTACTTGAGAATTGGTAACTGCTTGTATTTTTATAAAGCAAGTTAGTAATAAGATGAAAAATAAAACAAATATATTCCACTGAAAGTGCACACTCACCACGTCCAGAACAAACATATTAGTGTCTGACCACAACCTGGCATCTTTATTTTTATGAGGTACTAACACTCTAGCCTACTGATGTCACCTCTGCAACATGTTTCCATATATCCTCATTCATTGCCATCTCAATGTGCCTTAGGCTCTCCTGCTGCTACTTATTTTGCTCCTCCGAGTACATGCTACAAACAATACTGATTACTTCTACAGAAGCACTGCCTGTATCACTTCTTGCTCAAAAACCTTCCCTTAACATCTAGGGAATTTTGCCAAATTCCTTACTTTGATTTACACTGGTACCTTTCTAGCCACCTTTATTATTTACTATTTCCAAACGTCTAAAATTCTGAAGTCTGATTATATTAGGATCCTGTTTGCAAGCAGATTTCCTGACACCATCTCACCAGATCTATTCTCTACCACCAAGTCTATCTATGAGTTCACAACCAAGTTCAGTTTAAAATGTGTGAACACAACATTAGAATGTGAGGTTTTAGAGAAACAAGTAGTTTATGTGATCAAGATATTAGAGCTCTCTCCAGTAAGGACTGGAGGGAAGTATCACTGAAATCCTAAAGCAGAGGCTAACATAATCGAGTTCACATTTCAGATACTAGTGGCCAGGAACCAGACAGAAAAGATCATCCAAAGCATGCAAAAGTGGCACACACCTCTAGTCCCAGCAGCTGGAAAGCTGAGACAGGCACCTCCGTGAGGGCCTGTCTCAAAAAATAGCAGAACAAAAGTGTGCAAGACAAATGAGGAGTCAAGAACTTAACAAAATAAAGACAAAGTATAAATCTGAGAGATTTCTGGGGTAAATCAGTAATATTTCATGTACAATCTATTCCAATGTCCAACTCTTTCCTATTTGAAATTTTTACACCATAACCTGAGCTATCTTTAGAATATATATGTGTGTGTACATACACACATATATATTTGTATTTATTTATTTATTGTGTGGGTTTGTACACAAATGGAGGTCAGAGGAAAGCTTGTAGGAATTTGTTCTCTCCTTCTACCATGTATGCTGACCTCAGTCAGGTGATCAGGTTGACATCAGCCATCTCTACTGGCTGAGCTCTCACCCGCCCCTGAGCTGTCTTCAAAATACCAATCTGATCATGCTCTTGCTCTTAACAACCTTCGGGTGCTTCTTGATGATCTTAGGACAATGAACACATTTCGCTAACAATTCTGCTGAGGTCCTGTGTGACCAGCCTGAACCACTTAAGTGGAGGTATTTTGTGTGACTCTTCTCCACTCCCCAGCAGTCTATGCTCTCATTATACTGGCTTTTCCTCAGTTCTATGAACATGCTGCTTGTTCTCTCCCAATCAGTGACTCTGAAAAGTGCTGTCTGCTCAATACTCTACCATCATTTAATGTGATATTTTGGTTTAAGTAATGTTGTCCCCTAGGCACTCTCTCTCCAGTGGTCAGGACCTCAGATACATTCTTTTTTGTTTTTTAGGGGACACAGGGGCAAGGGTGTTGAGACAGGGTCTTTCTGTGTAGCCCTGGTGGTCCAGGAATTTCATCTATAGACCACACAGTCTTCAAACTCAGAGATCCACTAGCCTCTGCCTCCTGAGCACTGGTATTAACGGTGTGTGCCACCTCACCTGACACTGTTATATATACTTATACTGCTGTGTCCTTTCCCTACATGACTTCTTTCCACACCTCTCCATTTCTGTGGGACTCGGGAAGAAATGTCCACCTTGCTGACAGTAAGTCCCCTGTGGATAAGGATCATCTCTGTTCTGCTCACCACCATTCTCAGCTCTTAGCACAGCCTGGCATACTGATAAGTATAAAATAATAATTTGATGAGCTAATGAAATTCCAAATTAGTTAAAGACGATTCTCAAGTTTCTGCCTCTGACAAGGTGGAAGCCATGCTTTTAAGGGCAACGGAGAAAAAAAGGTTCAGTGAATCACTTCTACAACAATCAGATGAAGATGTCTAAGAGGACTGAAAAGAGACTTAGACACCTAACAGGCTTTTCTTAAGACAGAAGTGGTGACGCACACCTTTAATCCCAGCACTCGGGAGGCAGAGGCAGGTGCATCTCTGAGTCCAGCCTCGTCTACACAGCGAGTTCCAGGACAGGCTCCAAAGCTACACAGAGAAACCCTGTCTGGGGAAAAAACAAAAAACAAAAAAAGAGTTACCATGATAGGTATAATGATTTGGGATTCATCAGAGTCGTGGTGACAGGTATATTAAAAAATTACCAAAGTCAGTGAGTCTCCTTAGGAAAACAGGAGGGAGAAGGGGAAGAAAAGAGAGCTTTCTCCACTTCCTCTCAGCTCCCATTTGAAGATACACAGTGAGTTACTACTGAGAGGTATAGGGCATCTTTGGAAAATGTAGATGAGAAGCCAATGAGTAGCAAGAGCTGCTGGGCTGGAATGTTGCTCGGCAGTGTGCAGCTGGTACACTCACAGGCTTTGAACATGCCGCCAGTCCCTAGCACCAAAACCAAATTTCTTTACGTTCCAGGCTGACTCCCATGTATCTGGAGAGACAGCTCCAACAGATCCATAAGCAAAAGCATAGAGACGGAGGTCATCTGGTCTTTTCTGAAAGGTCACTATCTTAAAAAGCAGTCTGAAGGAAGTTCAAACTTTTTCAATGTAGAAAAAAACATTTGTAGAGGGGGGTAAATATGCAAAAGCTAAAGGCGAGGCAAGTCTAGTTCTAGATTCTGAGGATGAGAAAGACAAATATGAAAAGCAACGTATAATGCACCTTTACTATGAGCCATGTATTGATCTAAATGCTCAAGTATTGATTTACTTTCAATCACTCTGAAGGTCCTACTAGGTCCATACTATTCCTTATCCCGTTTAAATAGATTTGGAAACTGACAGCTGAGGAGGAAATCTGCCATGACCAACAGCTATAAAGTGGAGAGCTGGGATTAAATTCCAGTCAGATGATAAAAACAATCAAGTCCACTCCTTAAAATACAAATCTCTGGGCATTTCCTGTAAGACGGCAGGGAATACTATGAAAAAAAAATAAGTCTTGCCTCATGGCCTGTTCACTTCCAGAGGAACTGAGGCTCATGGGGAAAAGGCCTTAAGCAAAACGTTTGGTGTTGGTGCTGTGGAGAGAACACAGCAGATCGAGAAGTCCAAGAGTCGGAGCCAAAGCCACATTGTTCCTGAAGCATAAACGCTGGGGTTCCTGCAAATTCTACATCCACACCCTCGCTACCATGTCAGGGATGACTCTGGGGCGCTGCAGAGACCAACATACACAACTTCTCTCAAGGTACCAGCTTGGAAAGCAGCCCGCGTCAGGGAGCGCCTGACACTCGGGACGGCCCTCTCTCCACACTCACCGAAAGCTCGGGAGGAGAGACCAGGGAGACACGAGTGGGGGAGGGGAGGAGCGCCCGGGAGCCCCGGCGATGCTCCGTGTGCTCGCCCCAGCACCCTCCCGGACGCTCCGAGGGGCGGTCCCCGAGGACGGCAGCCGGTGCCCTGCGGCCCGGCCCTTTGCCCACAACCCCAGCCGCCCCAGACGGCGACCGGCAGCCCTCTCCCCGCAGCCCCGCGACAGGAACCCAGGAACTCACCCGGCCGGTCAGCCCCGCACAGCGGCCGCTTTCGGGACGCCAGGCGCTCCGCTGGCTCCACCAATCCCAGCCCGCAGGAAGGACGCCAGGGCGGGCCCGAGCGCCGACAACCAATCGGATAAGACGCAAAGCACGTCTCGGCGCACACAGCCAGTTCCCGCCATTAAAGGCGGAAAAAAAACCCCAGTTGGCGCCAAACTCTGGTACTCTACCGCAGCTCTTCAGGGAAAAGGTGACCACAGTGGCGACGGGGCGGGACTTCTCCACGGAAATGGCGTCACCAGAGCGGAAGTGGGGCGGGGCTGGGAAGACGCTAATGAAAGGGAAAGTAAGGGTGGAGGTGCTTAGCGCTTTTCGCTGAGAGCTAGTGGAGAAGACTTACTTAGTTCTAGTCTATAGCTTGTGTCAGCCACGCGCTAGACAGCACTCATGCTGACCCTTAGATGCCATCTTGGATGGTAAATGTAGCACAGACTTTTTGGAGCACTAAGAAGGCGATGCTAATTTAGTGGGGTGGAAGAGGCTTTATTATTATTATTTTATTATTAAATATTTTTCACACAGCCGGGCGGTGGTGGCGCACGCCTTTAATCCCAGCACTCGGGAGGCAGAGCCAGGCGGATCTCTGTGAGTTCGAGGCCAGTCTGGGCTACCAAGTGAGTCCCAGGAAAGGCGCAAAGCTACACAGAGAAACCCTGTCTCGAAAAAACCAAAAAAAAAAAAATATTTTTCACACAATATTTTATCGTTTTTACCCTGCCCCAGCTCCTCTCAGGACCCACGTCCTTATCCACCGAACTTCACGTTCTCTTTCTCTCTCTCAAAAAAAAAAAAAAAGAAAAGAAAGAGAAACAAGAAACCAGTAATGCTAAATAAATAAAAAGCCAAGACAATGCAAAATGAAACAAAAAGGCCGCACACAAAAACATGGAATAAATTTTGTATTGGCCAACTACTCCTGGGCATGGAGCCTGCCCCTGAGTTTGGCTGACATCAGTGACACTCCATGAAAGAAACTGATGTTTCCTTTCCCAGCAGGTATCAATTGCAAACAGCTTCTTGGTTAGGGCTCTTCTGGCTTGAACCCCAGCAGGTCCTGTGCATGCTATCAGTCTTTGCATTCATATGTATATCTGTTCTGTTGTGTCTGGATGACAGTGTTTCCTTAGAGGCATACTTCCTGCTGAGCAGGAGCCCATTGACTCCTGACTCCCTCTCCCCACATCATCCCTTGCCAAGAGGAAGTACCCAGGTTTGAACCAGTGCCCATATACCCAAAAAGGCCCGGATGTTCAGTTGCAACCTCCAGCTCCCTCCTGCATGATCCAGAAAGCCCTATTCCTGTCTCTCTCTCAGAAAAGGCACCAAAAAAGCCCATTTCCATTCCACATTGCAACTTCCTCCCCCATTGCTGCCAGCAGCCCACGTTCCTGCCTCAAATGCTCAGCTTTTGACCATACTTGGTTACAAACCCAACTTGTGGCAGACACATCATCACCTCTCACCTATAACCTATAAAGTCTCCCTGCTTTAGTTTGGGGGTGTGACTTCTCCAACCTCCATCTCTGGAAGGGGAGAACTTGCCTAGGAGTTGTTTTGCTCAAACAAACCCATTGTTACACTTTTTCAATTGGCTTTATCTGGCTTACTGTGTCCACAGAGAAACCTATTATGGTGGCGTGTATCTCTCTCTTTCTCTCTCTCTTTCTCTCTCTCTTTCTCTGTGTATGTGTGTGTGTGTGTGTGTGTGTGTGTGTGTGTGTGTGTGTGTGTGTTTGAAATCCTATTACCTTGATGCAGAAACACAGGAGAGGCTAAGCTCCCAGCCTGGTGGGCCTGGGTCCTCTGGTCACGAGCTACCTCCCCCCTTGCCCCTCTCTCTTTATCTCCCTGTCTGCCAGATGTGATAGACTTTCAACTCAGGGTAAATCTGTTGGTTTCAATGCAGTACTTTTACTCTGTCAGGAAAGGTCACGAGGCATGACAAAACCCGATATCAGAGCAGAGTTTTATTAGGAGAAGAGAGGGACAGAAGAGAGCATGACTAGGCCTGTGGAAGGCATATGCACGGAGAGAGAGGGTGGGGGAGGAGAAGATGAAGAAGGGGGAGGAGTCTGTGTCCCACTTCTTAAGGATTACCCTCACATACTCATATGGACTTATGGAGCTATGCCATGCTTGCAGATTGCATGATCATGCTGCATGTAAATTACATGATCACGCAGTGCACAGATTATGTAGGATATAAGGCCCCTTTTTTGGCTACTGAACTGCGAATGTTTCTGTCATGTAGCTGGAGGAGTGGACAGGAATCCCAACATTCCAGAGTCTTTGCTTATTATAACAAGGCAGGTGGGCCAGGTGGCACTGGGAAGGCAGAGCCAGGTGGATCTCTGTGAGTTCGAGGCCAGCCTGGTCTAGAGAGTGAGATCCAGGACAGGCACCAAAACTACACAGGGAAACCCTGTCTCGAAAAACCAAAAAAGAAAAAAATAAAGGTTTGAGGCAGCTAAAACTGCTATAGACATCCTGGACCCATTTAAAAAGTCCATTCCATCTTGATCATTCTCTACTCCCTTGCTAGGAGGTATAGCAGCCATAAGGAGCAGATGTATTGCTGATTATTCCAGCTACTTGAAAGCTCTTAGTGGAAAGCTGATTCAGAGCTGCATAAAGTTAAGCTCTGCACCCTCTTTTGCCAGTGGCTGGTAGCCAAATTTTATATTATAAAGAAGGGGGAAATCTGTGAGGGCCCACAGAGGCTCCCTAGTAAGGCCTTATACTCAAGGTCAGAGAATCTAAGCTTGCTTTACTCAGCAGGGCTGCATAATAGGATGATTTGGGTAGGGGTGTGGTTACCAAGAGTTTTGAAGGGTCTATGCTTGACTGTATGTTGTACTTTGATCTTGAAAGGTGGAGTCTTTTGCCTCTCCCCTTGGTAGTATATAAAAAGGCCATTAGAATAAAATTTGAGGTGGCTGGGTATTGACCCAGGGCCCTCCCACAGCTATCCTGTGTCTCTGTCTTTCTCATCGTCTCCATCTATATATCTAATCCTTCTTCGTTCCTCACTCCTTCTCCCAAGAACCCTTGGATAGGTCAGAGCTGGTCCCCTACACCTTCCCAGCAGTGCCACAGTCTTGGCTGCCCATTTCATTTCTTAGTCAGTGTCAGATATTAGAAAGAAATTAAAAAGAGTGGAGGAGGGTCCTCAAACCCCCATACAGCAATTGGTGGAAATGGCTTTTAAGGTTTTTAATGCCCAAGAAAAGGCATCTAAGTCTTCCTGACAGGCTTGGCTGCAACAGAAGGCTACACTCCAAGCCCACACCTTGGCAGCTGCCCTGAGGCCACCATTGCCCTCACAAGGTGGACTGGGGAAGTCCATGAGGCTCCATCCTGCTGGAGCTCAGGCCAAGTCAACTCCACCAGGAGCATGCTACACATGTGGCCAGGAAGGCCACTAGTCATGGCATTGCCATGGCCCTCAGCCACGGATGAGGCCATGCCCTATCTGTTGATAGCCTGGACACTGGAAATTGGAATGCCCCTGTGTAGGCTTGTCTTCTATGCCACACCATGGAGGTTCAGACTCACCAACACTGGCATCTGATACTCTTCCAGCCTTCGAACTCCTCAGCCTGGTAGAGGACTGATGGCACCTAGACTTGGTGACACCCATCACCCTCACTGAGCCTAGGGTAAAGCTCTAGGTGGCCGGTAGGTCCATCACCTTTCCAGTGGACATGGGCACTACCTATTCTGTTTTAACCTCTCACTCGGGTCCCCAAGTTCCCTCAGCAATTTCTGTCATGGGGTAGATGGGACCCCCTCCTTTCTGCTTAAGACCATGTCACTTGCCTGCATTCTTACAAAGTGATTCTTCTCACACTCTTTTCTAGTCATACACCTTTACAGGATGGTTAGTAGTACTCCCCACCTCCAGGGAAATAGCAGGTGTGGTGGCTCAGGAACTCCTGGACCACATTTGGCATGCCACAGATTATACAGACAATGAGCCAGCATTCACTTCCAGGGTCATGGAGCATGTATCAGAAGCTCTCAACATTTCCTAGAAGCTCCACATACCCTACCATCCACAATCCTTGGGAAAGGATGAGAGGGCCAATGGACTCATCAAACAACAGCTCACCAAGCTCTCCAGTGAACTCAGGTTGTCTTGGCCCTCCCTTCTCCCCATTGGTCTTACCTGCCTCTGGACCACCCCACACTCTCCTGCAGGCCTAAGCCCTTTTGAGCTCCTTTATGGAAGGCCCTTCCTCCTCAATCAACACCTCCCAGCCCAAATTCCTCTACTGGCTAGGTACCTCCCCTACCTCTCCCTTCTGAGGTCCCTTCTCCATTCACATGCTGACAGCTATCTCCCTGCCCCCACAGCAATGACCCAACTGCCCCTGAGCATGCCCCACTCTCCCCGGGTGTGGGAGCCCACAGAGGCTATCTAGTGAGACCTTATTCAGGGTCAGAGAATCTGACCTTGCTTTACCCAGCAGGGCTGCATAAGGAGATGATTTGATCATGGTTATGTTTACCAGGTGTTTGAAAGGGGCTATACTTGACTGTACAGTGTGCTTTGATCTTGCAAAGGAGAGGTCTTTTGCCTCTCCCCTTGGCATATTATAAAAAGCCCTTTTGAATAAAGGATGGGGTTATTGGGTATTGACCCAGACCCTCCTGAAGCTATCGTGTATTTCTGTCTTTCTTCTCATTGTCTAGGTCTCTCTTTCTAGCTGGGTTTCTCTGTAGCTTTGGAGCCTGTCCTGGACTAGCTCTGTAGACCAGGCTGGCCTCGAACTCACAGAGATCCCCCTGCCTCTGTCTCCCGAGTGCTGGGATTACAGGCGTGCGCCACAACTGCCTGGCTCTAGCTGATATTTTCTTATCCCTCTCTCTTTCACCTAAGAACTCTTCAAAAGGTGAGATCTGGACTCCCACACCCAGGGCACTGAGTATTCCTCAAACAGCTAGCTCCTAAGTCTCTTGAGCCCTGACAGACAGGACTTTATACCGTGATCCTCAGCACCCCTTCGGCTGCCAAGCTCCTGGGACATCCATGCTGGTACCATCTCTCCAGGCTCAAGTGGACACCTATTCAGGATATTTGGTCTGTTCAACAGTTGGGACCCTCCACCCTCCAGTTTTCAAAGATGTCCCAATGAAGGGCC